AGTGTGCTAGCTTTCTACAATTTCTCCTATTAAATAGCAAGGAAAAGTAAAAAAAAAAAAATATGATTTTTTTCAATAGGATTTGCCACATCCAAAGAGAGAAAAGGCTGCTTCGATATAACTATGTATTTTAAAATATTGATTTTTTAACAGCTAGATGATATTTCATTTTGTTAATATTTATAATAATCAAAATATTTTTACATATGTTGTTTCGTTTAAGAGCCTAGCCAGCTTGTTAAGCCCAGGAGAGTGGGGATCATTAATGCCTATCCTAAGGAGTAAAATCTGAAGACACAGTAGTTAGGAGACTTCTCCAGGCTTCCAAGACTGTCAGATGCCAGAATTCCTTAGAGTCCTAAACCATCTACCACACAGTCTTATTCATGAATCAGCATGTTCACCTTATTAACTTCTACCTTTCTAGGTAGAAGGTACCATCCTAGGTAGAAGGTCGGATGTGAGAATTTGATCCTAGACAGGCTGCCAAGTCAGTGAGCTTTACTGGACATTTTGCCCACCTCATACTTATTTGGATCAGTGCTTTAGAAAGAAACCGTACAGCGGCTGTGATCTCTGGCACAGCTAGGAGGGTCATCAGTGCTTCACACAGCCAACACCTCACAGATATTTACTGAACAAATGAAAAAACAAACTAATACAAACATTTGTGCCAATGTTTTGCTTATTTGTTAAAATCCATTGAATTAGAAAACCCATACCCAATTTTTATAGACATTAAGACATTGTAAAGCAAAATCTTGTATTTCTTATTTTTTTTCAATTAAAATTATCAAGTTTTGTAAGTATAGGCACCCAAAGTTTTCTTTTGTAGTGAACAATTATGTGCCCACAAGTCTTTACAATGTAGGGAAAGCAAATTAGAGGAGTGATATTAATGTTCAGTTGTCACCAATTTTGACATCAGTGACATGTCATTAACAAAGAATGGAGAGGGGAAGAAATGCTAGGTAGCTATAGCTGCTTTGAGTCAAATTCAGGGAAACTCACCCAAAATGGAATATTTGGAAGAGAGAGCAAATCCCACTAACAGGCATCATAAGGACTGAGGACAAGAAGGGGCCATGATACCCTCTGTCTCACCTATACTCATTCTGAAGCACGGTCTAATGCTCTGCTCGCTATTGTAATTCGTATTTCTCCACTAACAAGAAACACATTGTGGAAGACTTGGGAACATTCCATTTGATTCACATGCCTGTTGTTTGGGCTGTCATAAACCCCAGATGTCTCCTCCGTGGGGTCTGTGATCTTATCACTGTTCTTGGGTTAGTTTTAATGCAACAAATTGCAATTGCAGAACTCTCTATTTAGGTTTCCCCCGAAGAATAGCCATACCTCTATCCTTTCAAAATCTTTAGTGATTGAGGGATTTCACTCACTTTAAAATCTCACTTATCTCCCTTATAACAGATAAGCTATAATACCAAGTGCATTCTTTATCTGAAACTGGGATTGACTTCTCAGAAGCCCTCTCATCCTCTAGCTCTTTATTATAAGCAGTGCTTAATATAAGGGAAAAACTAAATTCACCTCTTGGCTATCACCTTTAGAGGAAAAGGCAGTTCAGGACAAGTCCATTACAAGTATTCATGTTTTAATTTTAATTTTATTTTGGATAATTGTTTCAATTACTTGCTAAATTGTTAAGTCTGGTCCCTGATACAGTAAAAAATTGTCTTCAGAGTTAAAATTACTAACTGGTAAGTTATTGATTGAATATTACATTTTCTATGTTTCCAGCAAAGTCATGATGCTCATAATGTGCCTTCTACTCCTGTTAGCCCATGTAATCCTCACACATTTGTGACTTAGCTCCTGTTAGCAACTTGGTTCTATAAGTGGAGTAAATACCGAGCCCAACATGACAAATGAATGAGAAGAAAAGCTAGGACCTGAATGTGGAGGGAAAGTCCAAGATTAATGGAAAGGGTGTCTTGCTTTTCCTCTCTTTAACAGCTTTTTAGACTATAATATTTTGTGTTTTCTAATTCTAAATTTTTGTGAAGTACTCACAGTCTCAGCACTCTCCAGATATCTCTCTATAGTTCGTGGACTGAAGGGAATATTTGTGTCATTGAGATTTGTAAATCATTGTCTTAGTTGTGCTCTCATTTCCTAATATCAGAAATAATATTTCTAATAAAAGAGGAAGACTGGAGATACATATATTATACTTAGGAATCAAGATTGTAGGAATTTATTATCAGGGCAGTCCATAATTCCACACTGGGTAGTGATTTATTTGTACTTATTATAATAGGGACTTTTCCTTATTGCCTATTTGTTAAGGATGCACCAGTTTGAATCACAGTATTTGTTAGATTATTTATTCATTACAATCCTGGTAAAAACAAACCTCTGCCATCACAGTTTACATGAGAAGAAAACATTGCCCCAGATCACAATTACTCCATCTGACACACTCCTTGATATGTCTGAAAATCCTGGGCTGTGGCAGAAGTGGACCCTCTAACAGTACATCCAGTAAGCAAACCTTGAATACTATTCTATCTTGGGCTTCCCCATTGGGTACCAAGGTGATCCGGCTGGAAACAGGCAGCTTTGAAGCCGCACAGACAAGGTCTTTCCTTCCCTTAATTCCAACTTTACTGGTGAAATGATAGCACTAAGGCTGGTCTCACCAAGCTGTGGCATCCAATACATGATATCATCTATATCAGTGGTTCTCAACCTTCCTAATGCTGAGACCCTTTAATATACAGTTCCTCATGTTGTGGTGACCCCCCAACCATAAAATTACTTTCATTGCTACTTCATAACTGTAGTTTTGCTTTGGTTATGAATCATAATGTAATATCTGATATGCAGGATATCTGATATGTGACCCTTGTGAAAATGTTGTTCTACCCCAAAAAGATCGAAACCCTAAATGAAAACTCCAGACCAGAATAAGACTCAGTATATGCTAGAGACCTTCATTTGTTAACTTTGTGCCTTCCCACCGATGGGTACAGTTTATTATCGCCACTTAACACAGGGTAAGGGAACTGAAGTTGACAAGGTTGGAGAAACCTCAAAACACAAGTCACACCACACACATTTCTTTTTTAAAAAATGTTTTTACTTTATAATTAATTTAATTTTACATATCAGCCACAGATTCCCCTGTCCTTCTTCCTCCCTCCCTCAGCCTTCCCCTCCAATCCACCACCCATTCCCACCTCCTCCAGGGCAAGGTCTCCCCTGAGGAGTCAGCCCAGCCTGGTAGATTCAGTTGAGGCAGGTCCAGTACCCTCCTTCCTATACCAAGGCTGAGCAAAGTGTCTCAGTATAGACCCTAGGTTCCAAAAAGCCAGCTCATGCACCAAGGTCAGGTCCCGGTTACAATATCTGGGGGCCTCCTAAACAGTTCAAGCTCATCAACTGTCTCACTTATCCAGAGGACCTGACTTACCCTAAACAGTAAGTCAATATGTCTATATAAAATGCTTGGCCTATACCACACAGAGGGAGAATCAGAGAACATTTCTAAGAATTAGAGAACTTTCATATTTGTTAATGAAATGAAAATTTTTGCTAGGTTAAATATTTACAGAAAAAAGTTTGCAGTACTATATTAATTTTATTCTCATAGGTCTTAAAAATTGTACCACGAAGCTGTGTGCAGTGGCGTATTCCTATAGTGTCAGCACCTAGAAAACTGAGACAGGAGGAATGTGTACGTTTATGGTCAGCTCTGGGCAACACAAGAGACTTTGTCTCAACAGTCACAGAAGGGGTGTAACATGGATTCCTTGAACTTAGAGCTTGTGTCCTAATCATCCTTACTCTCCCAAACTCAGCATCGTGTTTAAAACACAATAAAGTCTCAAGAAAAACTTGCAGAAAATAGATACAAGTGGATAAGTGGATGTATAACTGAGTGAGAAAGGTAATAGACAAATAAAAACCTCAAAGTGAAGACTAGAATATATTGCTATAGCTGGTTGACTTCTTAGAGGTAATTTGTAGGGTAGATTTGTGTTGAAGGATGCTGTGACACAGGCATTTACATAAATAGAAATCATTCTTAGTAGATGGATGATCATTCCAGCCTGAATCTCAACCGCCAATCCAACAAACTTATTACATACTTTAATGGAAGAAACTGAAAAATGTGTCAAGACTAAATGCTCACATGCATACACATAAACAAACACACACGCTACATAGGAGCATTAAGTACTACCTATCTTTTGGGGAACATAGAACATTGTATAAAAAGCTTTGATTCGCCTGTTTATTTAATCCTTTATTGTCCTATTAATAATACACATTTTAAATAATACCATGATTTTATTGTGTCAATTGAACCCCAGTAGAAAGTTTTCTTATCATTGATTAAGTCCTAGATTCTTTCTGATATCTACTTGTGTAAACATCTTTGGTGCAACTTCAAGATGATTTAAAAACCCCAAATGCTCATGGTACCAAAATTCCTTGCAATGTCCTCATAACAACATGCTCTTTTTCTCAGAATGGCTGATTTCTTTTGTGTGCAATTATAACAATAGCAACAAATTGGCTGATAATGGCTGCATCTGCATGTTACTTACTGCATGGAGGACACTATTGGGTTGGAGAAAAGTTGTTCTCAGCAGCCTTCAGCTCACATCCTCCTCTGACAATGTCAAGCTTCTCACAGTTAAGCCCCCTTAAAAGCTGGTTTTGGTTTCCGATCTGCATCCCTGGGACCAGGGCAAACAGTTGAGGTGCTGAAGTCTCTCCCGCATTCCCAATTTCCTTCTCAGTTCCCAGAACTCAGCTCAGCCTGAATTCCATTGTCGTTCCCAGCAGAAATTGTTCTTTGTTCTCAACACACAGTGATATTTTACATAGTTTTCTCCTTCTTGCCTTGCCCTGCTGGCCGGCCACCGGCTCTGGGAGGTAGATAAGACAGAAATACAAAAAGATAGGTCTCTCGGTTTCTCCTGTCATTGAAGACACCTCACACTGGTGAGAACACATGCACAACCATGTCTTCTGCTCCTTCTGAGAAGGAGGAGAATCCAAGAAGCAGTGGAACAGAAGCTGATGAGAAGTAGGCATGGAAATCTTTCATTTCCAGTAAGTGGTGTGTGATGCACTGTGAGTGTGGCAATGGCCAGGTCATGTAGAGAACTGTGGACATGCTTCCCATTTTTACTCTCTTCGTTTGAAACCACTAAAAGCTCAGAAAAAAAAGATCCTGTTCAAAATTTCTTATATTGTTCTTATTTTCATTACCAAATAATATTTAATTATGAGAAGCATCCCCTCTTCTTCCTACTTGGGAGCATGCTTAAGAAATGTCCCAGTGTTGTGCATGAGTTATTTACTGCCCTCGTGATCTTTTAATTTTGGAGAAGATATATGTCTACATAAGCTATAAGAAATTAAACTGTGAGCTGTGGAAATGTAAGGACACTTGCATCACAAGCATGAGGATGTAACTAAAAATCCTCAGAACTCATGAAAAAAAACTAGGTACAGTCATGCCCACCTATTACCCAGCATGGGAGGATGCAGTGAAGACAGGAGGATTCCAGGGGCTTACCACCAGCCTAGCTCAAGGTTCAATGAAAGGTTTGGACTCAAAGTTATAAGACATATAGTAGCAGAGAACACCAAATTCCTGGCTTCTGCACCTGTACATGAGCATGCACACATGCTCGTGTGCACATGCACACACACACACACACACACACACACACACACACACACACGCACATTTAATGCCAATAGAAAGGGTGACAGTGCAAAGTCAAACTCAAATTTGAGATGCCAGCACAGCAAAGACTGATAAAACTTTTGTCCAGTAAAACAGTCCCTACCTCATTTCAGGAAAGCCTTTATTTCCACACTGCCCAAATCTCATGAGTCATCCATTTCTGCCATCTGGAAAACTTTCTTAACAAGTAAAAACCAGCCTCTTAGAGAACAATTTGCTTTCCCAAAAGAAGTGTTCTGGTTCATAGAAGCCAAATGCAGGGAGAACAGCTAACAGATACCATTACACAATTGCGTAGAAGGAATCACTTCTAATATTCTATTGCTAGGAAAACAATTAAGGGTAATAATTAATTGAGTATTCCAAAAATGCTTAGTGGAGGAGATTTTGAAAATCCCTAGCAAAAAAAAAGGATAAACACCTAGTGATAGATATGCAGCAACCTTGATTTGATCATTGCCTATTGTATACATATATTGAAATATCACAACATAGGCCTTGCACACACACAACTGTTCACCATCCATTAGAAATAAGAATATATGTTTCTAAAATAAATGAGGTCCTAGCTGAGGACTCAAGATACATGAACTGAGTACATTGTTTCTGTCTCAGAGTAAAATATAAAAGTACTACAAGTAATTCTAGTGACAAGAGTGATTTTTAGGTCACATGTGGCAATATATTAATTAACCCTATAAAGTATAATTTCAAGAATAGCTGGTATATCTATAATTTTTGTATTAAATGGTGATTCTAAAAGATATTTAAAGATTAATCAGTAGACAGTTCTATGTCAAAGTCATCACAAAATGTCCCTTGCTCTTTCCCTGTAGTGAGTGGCTGAGGACTTCTTGCAGCAAATGCTCAAAGGGAAATATTTAGATTCTGTAAGAATTTCCCATCAATGAAGGTTCCCAGGCAAGGGAAAGGGGAGAGGGGCCTGTGGAAGTCATGAGTGAACTGGATTCCCTGGAACTGGGGTTATGGGTTGCTGTGAGTCACCATGTGGGTGCTGGGAGCTGAACCCAGCTCCTCTGAATGAGCACTAAGCATTCCAAACCACCAAACCACCTCCTCAGTCCCTGGTGTTGGCTCCTTAAAAATGTATTTGTTACCTTTGTTTACTTATATTAGTAAGCAAACTTGTGGAATGAGAAACTGGGTAAAATCTTTTTATATCAGATAGTGTAAAATGAAGTTCAAAAAAGTGGTTTCATGAAAATCTGTAGGCACACAACCAAGGTGTAAATGGACAGTTGCATGACAATCTTATGTATACACATTTCGTGCTGGCTAGTTTTATGTCACCTTGACAAAAATTAGAGTCTTCTGAGAGGAGGGAGCCCCAGTTGAGAAAATGTCTCCATCAGATTGGGCTATAGGCAAGCCTGAGGGACATTTTCTCAATTAGTGATTGATGGGGAAGGGGGTCCAGACCATTGTAGGTGGTGCTACCCCTGGGCTGGTTGTCTTGAGTTCTCTAAGAAGCAGGGTGAGCAAGCCATGAGGAGCAAGCCAGTAAGCCAGTAAACTGTGACTCCATCACAACCTCTGTTCCTGCCTTGTCTGGGTTCCTGTCCTGAACTCCTATGATGAGCAGTGATACAGAAATGAAAGCCAAATAAACTCTTTCCTCTCCAACTTGCTTTTGGTCATGGTGTTTCATCACAGCAATAGTAGCCCTAAGACATTTGCATAGCAATAACATGCACCTTCTTAGGGAAAGCAGGAAAATAATTCCAAGGGATGAAAACTCTGGGGCCTATAGACAAAAAAATAAAGGACATAAAGTTGAAGGTGGAGCAACTGGACAGGCTGCCTGTCAGGGAAGGTCTTCCTAGGGAAAAGAAGATCCCTATGGGACACAGGGCTCAGCATATCCTTTTGCTTAAATAATCTTTGAGTTCACACATATGAAGATAGTAAGGAACTGCATACTCCAGCTCCCTGTGTCTTTTCAGCCTGCATGATTTAGAAGCAAAGTCACATTATTGAATTAGTACTGTATTTCTTTGACAGCGTCTTAAAAAGGAAAACAAGCCATGAACACACCCTTCTCAAAACTGACTAATGAAGGTAATGGATGTGACGAACTGGGTTCCATGGAGATTATAGGTTGTGCAGTTCAGAATAAGGATCATTTATACTTTCCTGGTCCCCAAAAGAATGCAAAGTGCCAATTACGGCATGACCGGGGATTAGTTCTAGCTCTTTCCTCATTTTGATTTCTAAGAGTTCACTCTGTGTGTCTAAAAACATTACTGGAATAAAACATTCCCTCCTGTTCTTTTTATTCTATACTCATCTTAGAATTCCCTTCTCATGGAACAGTTCTTATAGTTTAGTTCACACATGCTTCCCCTCCCCCCCAGATAGTGCAAGTATTCATTCTCATTAAAGTCACAATATTTTTAGTTGTAGTGGGGCCAAATTCCAAAATGACCAGCAACATCCCCACCCTCTCTTGTACACGTTCCTTCTCCAGGAGAAGGAATGTGAATCAAATACCTATCTAGATGCAGTGAGGGGATTTTACCGATATAATGATGTCCCCAGGAAATTGATTTCTTTAAAATGGGATATTATTCTTAGAGGTCTAATCCAATAATACCTTAAGGAAGAACTGGGCTTTACTTTGACCTCAGTTCAGCAGCAAGAAATTGAGCTCTGCTACTCTGGTGAACTTGGAAATGGATCAAAAACCACAGACAATGAAAGCAGCCCCAACCGAAACCTCAATCTCAGTCATAAGAGACCATAAGAGGGTTGTCCAGGACCAAATGGTCAGCCCTGAAAACATACATATAATATTATACAGACTGAACTTCTTATGTTTAGGAATATATGTATATAGCTATGCATATAGGCATGTAATAATAATTAGTGAAAAAGAGGCCATAAATTTAAAGGAGAGAGGGGAGAGGTATATGGGAGGGATTGGAGGGAGGAAAGGGGAGAGAAAATGTAATTAAAATATAATCTCAAAAATTACAACAAAAAACAACCCAAATACATCATATTTAAGTTGAGAGAGAAAGAAAGAGAGAGAGAGAGAGCATGAGCAGAGAAGCCAGCCAGGCCACATAGAGCACTAGGTATTGCTTTGAGCTGCTAATTTGTGGTAATTAGTTACCCTGGGGTAGAAAATGAATACACCTGTGTTTGTTTTGACAGCACAAGGGAAACAATGTATAACAAAATGGTGCACCCATTTACAGACAGGCTAGAGTCCAAACAGCCTTCCTAAGTGTTTCTTTGCTAATCTGAAGTGATCTTAAGCAGATGACTAATTGAGCCTGTGCAGAATGGGAAGGTAATGGTGTGGTTTTTGCCTTCATGCATTGCATGCTTATATCCATAAAAGTTGGTCTTAAATGAAGTGTTTATTTACGTAAGATTAAGTAGCAGTAGCTCTAACGTGGGGCTTGCTTTGTAGCTTGTGTTACTCAAAGCTGCGCGGGGACTATGGACCCCGGAGCATCTCTAAAGCACATAACATTCCATTTTATTATGCATGGGTGTGCGAATGTGAGTGTAAGTGCACACGGAGGCCAGAGGCATTAAATCCCTGTGGAGTTGGAGTTACAGGCAGTTGTGTTCTGCCAGGTATGGGTGCTGGCCACTGAATTCGGGTCCTCTGCAAGAGCGGCGTGCACTTTTAACCACCCCGTCACCCCCAGTATCACACTTCCAATGAAAGTTCTCGCTGTAGTTTGTTGTTACTCATTCTCACCCAGATGCCCACAGCTCCTCAGTGGGATTGAAGATGCAACTCATATGATAGGCACTTCAGCAGCAAACAGTGAAGTTGAGCCGCTCTTTCCCAGTGTGTGAGCCCATGCTGTAAATACCTGAGCAGGAGCGGTGTGGTTTTTCACCATTGCCTCCCTCTGTTTGTTTTATTCAGAGGGACTGTTGTATGATAAGGAAATGAATAGATTTGAAAGCTTGTACATATCCTTTTTGTTGTTGTTGTTGTTTTTCAAGACACGGTTCCTCTGTGTAGCTTTGGAGCCTGTCCTGGAACTCACTCTGTAGACCAGACTGGATTTGAACTCACAGAGATCCACCTGCCTCTGCATCCCAAGTGCTGGGATTAAAGGCGTGCACCACCACCTCCTGGCATTTTGTAAATATTCTTAAGTTAAGCCTTTCTTTCTTTGGACAACTTTTGTTTGGGCACACTAACAAGAGTCCATGAAGGGACCCAACTGAGACAGAATACAATCTCGGGAAGCTGACCCAAGGTCCCATTTTCCTAACCAGTAAACTCTTCCAAGGCAGTCATAGAGAAACTACCTCATATATAGGTGAATAGATAAACACATAAGCTACAAGCACATTTTTTTTTTAAATTCAAGTGAGCTTTTTTTATTCGTGTACATAGGCTGCCTCTCATTAGGATGGGGTTCAAGAGATCAGCATTAGATGTGAGAGACAAGTCTTTATGGCTCAGGGGTAGGAGGTTTCCAAATAGGGGATTTGGTGGGCAAAAAATAGGTGGGGTAACAGGGGCAGAACATAGGCATAACAAGCTATTATTTATTTATTATTTTATTTAATTTACAATACAATTCAGTTCTACATATCAGCCACGGATTCCCTTGTTCTCCCCCTCCCGCCCCTCCCCTTCCCCCCAGCATACCCTTCATTCCCACTGAATGGGTGACACAGTTAATTGGCTTGATCTGCTGTGGATATTGCTGTACATAAATAAAACACTGATGGCCAGTGACCAGGCAGGAAGTAGGTTGCCAGGCAGGAAGTAGGTGGGACAAGGAGAGAGGAGAATTCTGGGAAGCAGAAGGCTGAGGAGAGACACTGCAGCCACCGCCAGGAGAAGCAGCATGTAAAGACTCTGGTAAGCCACCAGCCACATGACAAGGTATAGATTTATAAAAATGGGTTAATTTAAGATACAAGAACAGTTAGCAAGAAGCCTGCCACGGCCATACAGTTTATAAGTGATATAAGTATCTGAGTGATTATTTTATACATGGATTGTGGGACTGCGGGGGTTTGGTGGAACCTGGAGAGAAGCCCTCCAACAACATGATCTGTTTGGGAGACATCCAGGTAGTGGGACTGGGTCCTGTGCTCATTGCATGAATTGGCTGTTTGAAACCTGGGGCTTATGCAGGGACCCTTGGCTCAGTCTGGGAGGAGGGGACTGGACCTGCTTGGACTGAGTCTACCAGGTCAATCTCAGTCCTCCGGGGAGGCTTTGCCCTACAAGCACATTTAAGAATACAAAATGTTACTAACTGAAAGAGGTCTGCCACCAGGAGTTTGTGTTCTAGAAGTCAAAAGACTTTAGTTTGAGAAATCACCAACTTCTGTTATGTGAGAGAAATCACTTGATATCTCTAACACAGGTGTCTTCTTTCGGAGTGTGACTAAATTATACTCAGATTTCTTTCATTTTGAAGTTAAGCATCAGGGCAGTTAGAAGGTGAAACAGATGAGTGTGTTAGATTGCATCAGTCAGAGAACATAGAGCATTTCTTCAGCCAACTCTGGATTATTTTTTAATCAACCATCATCTGCATGGTCTGTATCCACTATACACAGAATGTATGCCTCTCAGGCTTATAGGATAAATGTATTCTTTTAATCTTTGAGACTGAAGTATAATTACAAATTTACTCCCTTCCATTTTCTCCCTCCAAACCCTTCCATATACCCCTTCCCACTCTCCAGCAAATCCAGAGCCTCTTTTTTCATTTATTGTTACTGCATGCATATATGTATGTGTATACATTTATTCATGTATATTCTAAATATAGCCTACTTGGTCCATGTAACATTATTTGTATGTATGCTTTCAGAGTTGACTGTTTGACACTGGACAACCCATTGGCATGCCATGCCCTTCCCTAAGGAGGACCACCTCTCCTACTTCTAGCTTTTCTCAGTTGCTTATAGTTCTTCATGTAGGTTGAGATCTTGTGTGTTTTTTCTATCTACACCGGCAAATCCATCTGACATCTGTCATTGTATTTATTATTTAGACCTCCACTACTATACTTTTTACCTTAACATTAACTTACAAAAATTGTTTTATATTCCAAAAATGAAATAATTACTATATGCTGAAACTTCACTTTGAATAAGACATTTCAGTATATTCTGTGAAGGAAATATGAAGAATATATTTTGCTCCATAGGAAATACTGTCATCAATATATAAACATAGAATGATTAAACTAACAAAGCTGGCAAACATGACTAGTATAGTGGAAAACTGTTGATATGGATCACTAGAGTTAGAGGGCCTGATGACCTCTCACTAGGCTCTTGTAATTCATATGCAAGCTTGGTTTAACCTGTGTGTGGCTTATAGGTCTATAAGATTTTATTCTGTACCAGGCTCCTCATCAGGTTTTAGTGATAAAAGATGACCTAACCTAGTGCAGCCCATTGAGGAGTTCCACACTCATGTAATTGCTTGATAAAATACAATGAACATATTTGCTCATCAAAAGTTAATAGAAGACCAGACTGCAACTCACAACTCCAGAGAGGCTACTTAGTAAAGAGGACCCTACGAAAAACACAGGTATCACCCAATGACAGAGAAATGGATGAGATCGACATGAGCAACCTGGACATGGGGGTGGGGTGAGTAATGGAGGTCAGGGGAAAGAGAGCTTAGGGGAGAGGGAGGTCCCACCTGGATCAAGAACAGAGTGGGAGAGCAAGGAAAGAGAGACCATGATAAATGAAAGCCCCATGGGAACAGGAAGAAGCAAAGTGCTAGAGAGTTCCCCAGAAATCCACAAACATACCTCCAACAATAGACTACTGGCAATGGTTGAGAGAAAGTCCAAGCTGGCCTGCTCTGGTGATAGGATGGCCAAACACCCTAATTGTCATGCTAGAAATCTCATCCAGTGACTGATGGAAGCAGATGCAGAGATCCACGGCCAAGCCCCAGCTAGAGCTCCAAGAGTCCAATCAGCAAGAGAGAGGGGGGATTATATGAGCAAGAGATATTGAGACCATGATTGGAAAAAGCACAGGGACAAATAGCCAAACTAGTGGAAACACATGAACTGTGAACCAATAACTGAGGAGTCCCCATGGAACTGGACCAGGCCCTCTGGATAAGTGAGACAGTTGATGAGCTTGAACTATTTAAGGCCCCCAGGCAGTGGGACAGGGACCTGTCCTTAGTGCATGAGCTGGCTTTCTGGAAACTAGGGCCTATGCTGAGACATTTTGCTCAGCCTTGGTGTAGGGAGGAGGGGACTGGACCTGCCTCAACTGAATCTACCAGGCTGAGCTGAATCCCCAGGGGAGACCTTGCCTTGGAAGAGGTGGGAATGGGGGGAGAATTAGGGGAGAAGGCTGGGGGGTGGGAGGAAGGAGGACAGGGGAATCCATGGCTGATATGTAAAATTAAATTAATTATAAAATAATAATAAAAAAGTTAATAGAAGAAAGGCAGCTTTTCATTCAAAACTGTGACAATTTTCTCTACTCTTATTTTAATGAAATATAAAGCACACATTATCATATGTAAAGTATTTGTGTAAAATTAATTTAACCCAAACCTAATTAAGGCTTTAAAATGTAAATCCTTTTAAAAATGAAGTTAGAAAAGCAAGCTGACTGATACCTCAAGGAAGCATCAGACAAGAACAGAAGGCAGAACTATTTAAAGACTTTTAGTTTGATCTCTTCAACAGTGGCATCCAAACTTCAAACGAAGCATGGTTGTTTTTGACTAAAAGAAACTTAAAAGCCATAGTTACTACAAACTCTGCATGGACCTGTATAAAACAGGATTGTATCCTGGCCTGTGTAAAACTGTAAATACTATGCAGATTAAAATGTTATTTGAGGGTCAGCTGACTATTAGAAGATATTAGAGCAACATTAATGTTAAGAGGGTCAATGTGATATTGAAAATAGCCTGTTTATAGCAATGGTTTGGTGAAAGGTCATAATGTCTTAATTCACATTATTAATGCAGAGGTAAAATGAATGAATGACAAGAATGTGATTGATAAAATTATAAGATGAACAAGTTTTTTACACTTTTCTAATTTTCCTTGTTTAAGATTTCACACTAGTTTAAAGGGGTGAATAAAAGAGTATATCTGAGGTTAGTTTGTGAAACATAGGGCCTGGAAAGATGGCTCAGTGGATAAGGGCACTCACTGCTCTTCCGGAGGTCCCAGGTTCGATTCCCAGCACCCACATGGCAGCTCACAACTTTCTGTAACTCCAGTTCCGGGGGATCCGATACCCTCACACAGATATGCATGCAGGCAAAACATCAATGCACATACAAATATTTAAAAAAAAAAGTTTGTGAAACTTAGATAGACTGATAAGACACAAAAGAGCACTGGAAGGGGCTGGGCTTTTGCCAGTATGCAGGACATTGGAACCTCTGCTGACAACAGTACCACCAAATGGCATTAGAAGCAGAAACCAGGGAAAGAACAGGATTCCTAGGTCTAATCTTTTCAGTAGCTCCTCCCAGGATGAAGATAACCTTAACCAAAATTGGAAAAAAATGTCCTCTTGCTGTAAGGAAGCATGTAGCCATATGAATTTATCCAAGCACAACCAGAAAACTTGTAACTACTCCCATGTAAGAGTAATGATAGCCTTCCTTTGTGCAGAGTGGCAGGATGTGGCACCCACAGCAGAGATCTGAAACCATGGATAACTGCCCTTCTCACGATGCTCTCCCTGATGATGGTGGCAGTGACCATTGGACTTCTGGCTCACATCTTAGTCTCTGGTAGGAAGAACTGGTAATTTCACTTTCTCACACAGGTCAGCATGGTTTGCACATCTGTAAAGGAGATTCATACTTTCACCCAGTACTGTCCCCACTCGGGATATTTTAAAACTTATTCTATCATTTCATCAACAAATTATTATTGTACCACTATTAAAGCAAATACTTTTCTGGGTGCTTATGATACAGCGTTCATCAAAGTATACAAGCTTCTCACTTGATGAGGTACAATATTTATTAGAATCTACATACAATACCAAAAATAGTTACTTTCTGTGGGCTACTAACAGTAAGACTCTTCAAATCTTACCATTTGCTGCATATCAAGATGAAAGACTATAATAAATGTACTATCAAAATTGGTTCTTTTACTTTTAGCCATTGTTCTCTGCCCAGTAGAATTTCTAGGAAAAAAAAACATGTCTAATGAAATAATGAATTTTAAAACCGCAGATAAAGTATGACTCAATATTATCACTTACTCTTAAAAAAATTACTCTTCCCAAAACTGTGTTTAATAATTTTGTGTTTATCATCTAGTATGCTTATATTAATGCAAGTAATGCATATTAAAATTCTCTCTGTGTTACATCTTTCTTGACTAAGTATAAACCATTTACATTTTTGACAAGTCTCTACAATGGCACACTCAGATGATGAATGTGTGTGGAAAAACATGAGTAGCTAAAGCTGCTTACTTGAATGGTTGTGTCTGATGTCATCTTTAAACACTTGATGAGGGGTGACACCTCTTTTAGGAGAAGAAAATGACATCCTACCATATTCCGAGTCTCATACAGAAACCCCAAAAGCAGTTTATACCAATGACAAAAGATCTACCCACGAGTCAGTTCATTTAACTGTGCAAAAGCATCTTCAACTATGGGAGTACTGTTTGATAACAGGCTCCAATCTCTTTTCTTTTCATTCCTGATGACCAGCCAATGAGCTGACTGACACCTCTGTTACAAACTGTGGCAATCTCTGACAGATTTTCTGCTTGTGATTTCCTTCACTGTACTTAGATCTTTCACTACAAGTAACAGTATGTGAGAATACCCACTCATGGATGGTTTACACCTCAGCAAAGCACAGGAAAACATAGCAATGAGCATTCAAGTTCTAGAGCCACATAGTAAGACTGAAACTTTTGAAAAGACTACCTAATAGCTGTATAACAAACATCAAGGTATTTAAAGCTACCGTGTCTTACTTTCCTCCTTTATGAAATGGAAGTGATGTCAACCTCAAGAAACTGGAATTATGGTCAAATGATACATGTGAACAGCATTCTGCACATAGTAAAGATTCAACAAATGTCAGCTACTATTATTAATATAAAACTATTAATTTATTATATTTTTATTAAATTCAATAGAAAGAAGCTTGCTGATATATTTAAGACTTCATTTCAGGCCCATTATTGTTAGGTCTTGGATCCTGAAGTCTTCATAGATCATGTATTTTCTACTTTTCATTATCATCACAGGCCAGAGAATGGAATATTATCAAGGGACCATTACAATTTCAGATATTCAAGCCATAAGCAATTCAGGACGAAAGAGCTCAAATGAACTGAAGGACTTACAGGAGGTGAATGAAAATTTGGTAAGTCAGATACATTTGAATTTTGTAGGCTATTTATTTTATTTCCCCAAATCATAATTTTCAGACCACCCACATCAGCATCATCTTGTGCTTTCTAGCCCTCCACCTCAGACCTGTGTATCCTATATTTCATGGGATGTATAGGTAGAGTTGAGGTGAGGGAATATGCCTGTCCAACAAATGGGGATTCTGACTCAGATATCTCCTTTAAGACAAAGGATTGTATGCTAAGGTATCTAGCCTAATTGTTTTTCTAATTTCTCTGGGTTTCCCTAATAGAAAAAGTCTAACTATGCTGGAACTAGTTTTTGATGACAACATATTTTCTTGTAAGGCCACATTACACAGCTTTTAAAATAGATATAAAAAGATAACAAAAATATATGTGTTACTTTGTAAATGTGTTATTAAAGGCAAGAGGTCCAGATTTACTATATAATATTTATAGTTAGTGCTAACAGTTTTGGTAAAGCTGAAGTCCAGGAGCCCCTCCAGAAGGGAAATGCTTATTTAGTGTTTTAAAGTTTAGTGTTATGAATGTCCATGAATCCTCACTCAAAAACAGCTCAAATTAACTCGTCTGAAGAAAACACAAAACTCTTGAGGAATCTCAGAATGAGAATGAGACGAATGTGAGCGTGTGTGTGTGTGTGTGTGTGTGTGTGTGTGTGTGTGTGTGTGTGTGTGTTTCCTAATATCTTCTACTTCCTCTTACATCAATTGACTCCATAAAACTTTCGGATGTGTGTGTTACTTGAAAACATAAATTCTTTGAATGATAAAAATGTTATTACTTATTACTATTCTTAAACTTGTCTTAAACTTAACTTAAAACTTGTCTTACTTAGCCTACACTCAGTATTGTTGTTATTGTTTAAATACATAACAACTAATAAAATCTACCCTTACTTAGTTAAATAGATAGGATTGGAACAGATCTTAAAATAAATAAACAACATATGAACTCACATAGACTGAGCATCATGCACAGGGCCTGCATGGATCTGCACCAGTCTTCTGCATCTATATTATGACTTCCAGCTTAGCGTTTTTTATGGGATTTCTGAGTGTGAAAATGAGTGAGTCTCTGACTCTTGTCCCTTCTTTTGGTTTCTTTGCCTGCTGTTTGTTTTGTCCAATTCTGATGTGTCACTTTTTGCTATATCTCATTTTGTTACCTTTTATTTTTTAAATCTTAAATAAAAAGGCAAAATTTGGACATATGAATGTAATAGAAACTGAATTTGAGAGTGTATTCTCAAGGGTCAGTTATGTGTGAGTTTCTAGGTATGTAAGTACACCAGGGACAGAAATCAAGTTAAATGCTGACATATTATTCTCACAGGAATATTTAGAGCCTTTTGTGATTGTCACTATGTATTTATGGGATAGGTACTTAACTAAGCTATGGAGCCCCGGGGCTTGGTACATATTTAATGTCCTTTATTCCCTGCTTTACATGTCACCATTCTGTTTCATGAGTGTTTGTTCTTGTTTGGAATCATTCTTGAAGAAGCACATTTTGTTTCCTGTGCGCATACTTTAAACTTGCCTTTTGTGCTATAAATCACTTTCATTCCATCCTCTTTTTATGCAGATCATTTTGAATGAACTACCTCCCCATGCTGCTGACTGGGTGTTGAATTCATTGCTATTAACTTCCCAGCAATAGTTTGGATCTGCCATATACTATCCTTGTTTTTGCCAGTCATTATAGGAAACGTCCTAAAAAATACTCTCCTTATCCTGTTATCAATATAGATGAGTATTTCTGGAAGCAGAATTCCTGGCTCACTAGGCATAATTTCACTCACTGGTAAGAACTGCTCCTCCGAGTGGCTGAGTCCGTGTGCAGTCTCATCTGCAGTACAGATTGATTCATATGTCTGCACATCTTTCCCAACATCCATTGTCTTACTCTGTTCCTGTTTTAATAACAAAAACACCATAGACAGAGGAATTTAAACAACAAGCTTTTATTTCAAACAGATTTGGAAGTTCAGGGGTTTAATATCAAGATCCTAGTAGACTTGGCAACTGGTAAAAACCTACTTCTTGGTCATAGAAAATTTTCCTCAAAATATGAAGGGATAATTATTACTTTTTTATGAATAAGAACCAAAACACCTGGCAGACATAACTTAAGGGAAGAAATATTTTATCCCAGTCCATAGTTGGTTGGTCCTGCGCACTTGAGCAAAACCCCAGAGCTGGGGTAATGTGTGACACAGGTTACGTTTTCACATCACAGTATGCAAGAAGATAGAAAGCATTATAACCAAGGCCTGGGTACAGCCTTCAAATAGCCTGCCTGCCCAAGCTAGGCCCCATTTCCTGAGGGTTCCATAGCCTCCTCAATCAGCACCATACTGGAGACAAACAATGAGTAGATAGCTGTCATAGCACAGTAGACCAGAAAGAAGAAAAGAGTTTCCATAGAAACTGGGCCTCCACATAGCTTTCAGTTGCCTGCCCCTAGAGACTTGTTTTGGCTAGTTACACCTCACTTGCTAAAGGGTCCATATCCTTCCAAACAGTGCTATCTACTAGGTAGAACGCTTTTAAAACACAAGTCTGTTTTGAAGACATTTGATATTTAAACTATTATATTAAACAAACATATACTCCACTTCATATAATTTGCAATTACTTTTTCTTTTTTTGACATTATTTGCTAACCTAATAAGCATAAAGTAGCAGTCGTACTTATGCATGATTTAATGGATACTTTTCAAATCACGAATAAATTTGTAAACTCATTTCTTTTGGAGTTTTTCTTTCTACAAATCCTCTGTATGTATTTTTTGCCTATGTTTTTATTTTTGTTGTTTGCTTACATTATATACATTTTTTATAGATATCACATCTTTTTTCTTCTATTTGTATTGTTGGTGAAATGAAAATCTATGCCATCATACAAATTTTTGTAGCCTTGTAACTGTTTTGAAAATTCTTTGATAGTCCTTTCCTCTTTGTTAATCATAAAAACATCTTACTGTATTTTTCTTCTATTAATTTTATAATTTTATATTTAATATTAGGTCTTTAATTCACCTAGTGAATACTTTCAAGTGTGACATTAGGTAGGGAACCAATTTTTAGACACTGTCTAATGAACTAGTTTTCAAAAACAACCAACTAAGCAATCTAAGCTTTTCTTAATATATAATATGGGTATTGAGCTTATTGCTTTTGTTGGCACATCAGTCATCTTTCAGAAAAGGAAATATGATCTGTCTTCTCAAATTGCTGCAACCACTTGGGGGAGATGTGAGTAATACACATGGAGTTGTACAGCAGGACATGATATAATTAAGGATTAAACTGTATGTAAAGGACAATAAGTACAGGAGAGTGTCAAAGGTAAAGGAGATCAAGGAGGATCCCCATGGACAGGAAAAGCTTTGTACTATCTCACTCTTTTTAAACGATGCATGTGCTCTCCCCGTCCCCTACCAAGTTTGCTTTAGAGGACTTCCTGGAAGAGTTCATGCCTCATCCTGAGCCACTCCTCTTAATAGTTGCTAAATCCTAATGAGTAAAACCAGGTTCTTCTCTCTCCTATATGGACACTAATTAGATCACCAAGAAAGATGAGTTGCCGATCTTGTTCTGCCTCATAGTTTCAGCTTGACTGATTTGAATGGAAATGGAGATGTAAAAGTAAATGGAGTTCATGCCCCAATATTGCTAAAACTTATCCCAGTTCCAAGAAATCAGCAAAGATGTCCTATAACTTGTTATCAGTACCCCCAATGATCCTAAGACAAGCTGAAAATGTTTATAAGCCAAAAAGGCATATAGTACATTTAACTGACTAAACATCATAGCTTAGCCTGGGATACCCTAAAGACACCCAGAACATATACACTAGCCTAGAGTTGGACAAAATAGTCTTTCACAAAACCTATTTTATAACAAACTGATGGATGGCTCAGGTCATTTAGTGGGCACCCATATGCAAAAATCATGAAACACATCACATTGTAGAGTATTGTTGCCCAGCACTGCGACAGTATATCATACCTATATTGCTAACCCAAGAAAAGATTACAATCCAACATTCAAACTACAGTTTCTAGCAAATGTCCAGCTTTCCCACCACTGTGAAGTCAAAAAAAAAAATCACAACTGAAACCATTGTAGATATCACAATCAATGATATACTTAACTTCTATCCAAGTCTTATGAGGATAAGTAGAATCATTGACAGGGTGTTTTACCTGGAGAATATTTTCAGAAATATCAAAAACATTTGGATCCATTGAAACCATAGGATCATTATACATATGAAAGCTATAAACTTGTCATACCATGATAGTAACAATATATAATATGAAATAAGGCCTTGAACATCATATACATATTATTCCACTTAATCCTCAATGACAACTCTTTGAGAGAGATAACTTACAACCTCAATTTTACAGATGAGAATATGAAGATACAGAAAACCGAATTTGCTCAAGGCCACACATTTTGATTATCTCGTTAAATGATACAGTGAGGATTTGACATTATGATTTGAAATTCCATGTTCTTAGTGAACATCTGTCTCCAGGACAGAGGTCATCTGTAAGAATCACAATGTGAGTTTGCTTCCTGTATACCATCCCCCAAATTCCCAGAGCCTCTCAGTTTCTTACACATTATTCTCTGTCAGTTATCCTGTTCGCATGAGATTGCAACCATTGGCAACAACTGGAGTTTAGAGTTTTCCTCAGTTTCCCCATACCCAGGTAATAGGAATCTGCTCCCATGACAAAGAAGTTCTCATTTTTGCCTTATTTATTCTTTTTTTTTTTTTTTTGAGACAGTGTTTCTCTGTGTAGCCTTGGCTGTCCTGGAACTCTCTCTGTAGATTAGGCTGTCCTGGAACTCAGAGAGCCTCCTGCCTCTGCCTTCCCAGTGCTGGAATTAAAGGCATGCACTACCACTGACTAACTTGGCATATTTGTTTTTAGGAACACTAGAAACAGGGCTCAGAATTACCCTCAAAA